AGTAATACAAAATATTTATTATTTCCATAAATCCATAATAATTCCATAAATAAACATTCAAAATTTAATCTTCGTATGCATACAATATAATTTTAATAGTATTATTCTATCTTTTTCAGACAAAATGTGTGATCAAATAAGTGATGCCATTTTGGATGCACATTTGAAGCAAGATCCTGATGCAAAAGTTGCATGTGGTAAGTTTTCTTAGAATAATTGTAATTTTCAATGATTTCTGTCCATTCTTGTTACAATCTCTATTTATAAGCCTATCAATTCAACCTTGAGTTAATTTTGAAACAGAACTCTAAAGAGACCTAGTACTTAATACAGTAGCTATATAGTAAGCATCTATTCAAAATAATGCAAAATATTTATATTAATTTCGTCCATAACGTTTTTTTTCATGCTTTAGAAACTGTAACGAAGACTGGAATGGTACTATTGTGTGGTGAAATTACGTCGAAGGCAGTGGTAGACTATCAAAAAATTGTTCGAGACACAGTCAAACATATCGGCTACGATGATTCGTCCAAAGGTAAAAATATTTTCAATAGTATCTTATATCTTTTCTCTACAGTGATGTATGTTTGTTAAATCCTTTGCCACCCCCTAAAGTTTTGTTTAATTTATTTTTATCTTGTACATCTAAAGCATTTGAAATTTTCCTTGCTAACCTAAGAATTGATGCGACATATACTTGCCCTGTGGCTGGATGAAGATTCTGTTGTCTTACCCCCTGTACAATTCGCCTCATTTGGTTCTCCTGAATCAAATTTTACAAATACACGGTCGAATCATGGCACGAAAGCTTCCAGCATATTAACTACAAATTTTGTTAAAATGCTTATAGTATTATTTGTGTATTAAGTTGTAATAATAAGTGTGTATTTGTGTATCGAAAGGATGTGCCTTACGCTACGTACACGTTAGTAAGAAACTGTTGGACTTGAGGAAATTCCATGACTCGATCGATTGGATAATTTATATCCGGTTCACATTATCTTTTGGATCAAAAAATAAGTGAAAAAAAACGTATGAATATGTAACGTAAGCATATCATGATCGTGGCAGGATTCGATTGGCGTACGTTGAACCTTTTGGTGGCGATCGAACAACAATCTCCAAATATCGCTGATGGTGTTCATGTGGACAGGGAAGAGAAGGACGTGGGTGCAGGTGATCAGGTACATAACCCATTCTCAGCCCGTGCCGCAGAGCAGCCATATAATTCAATAACAGTCTTCCTATTTTATGCACCCCTCCCCCTTATTATATATTTTAAACAAATTTCTTTAACATACACTTTCCCTGTGTTCAGTGTGAGTGTATAAATTGGTGTGAATGCAAGTGTTACACAATTACACAAACACTACATATATTTTATAAGATAAGGTAATTCAATTTTATTCTCACTACAAAAATTTCATAATTTTCTAGTCTCTTAAAAAATTGATTATTAAACATCATAATCATAATTCTAATATAAATACATGCCATAAATGGGTTTTGAATAACATCTTGATATTACGTATTGTAAGACTTCTACAGGAATGCTTCACATTTCTTTTTCAAATGATGATTATATATTGTATCACATTTGTGATACAAAGATTCAGAATCAATAAATTGTACATCATATTAAGTGGTAATTCATGACAGGAAACTTTTCCAGTAGTATCATTTTCGATGAAAAATTTGGATGAAACTTCATAATATCTTTGAAAGTGTGATTTATCAATTTCTCAAACTTTTAATATAAATATTCAAGACTGATCAGCCAGGACAGTGGGTCATTCAATGGAGGAATAGTCGCATCTTTGTTCGCAACATGTTTATCTCACTCATATAATTTCTACAGGTTTTGACTACAAACTCTGCAGTGTTCTGTTGGCGCTTGATGCTCAGTCACCAAATATTGCTGCAGGAGTTCATGAAAATCGTAGTGATGAAGAAGTCGGCGCAGGAGACCAGGTCAATTAGCATTCTGATCGTTGACTATGAAGTTTTTGTTCTTTCTGTTCTTCTTATCTATTGTACCTAATGCTACTATTCGTTATTCTTAGCATTTGAGTAACACATCTTATTTATTCTTACTTTTTCCTGTCTTCAGTTTTCGATATCCTCAGTAGAACGCTTCTTAGATTCCTAGTATTGTGAGTAGTGATAACTGTAATATAATATTTGTTAGTTCTTTATACATTGTATTTAGGGTGTGCTGCTAGTTAGTTTCTCAATATTGCCTTGGTGTGGTTGTGGTAAAGGCATATGTATCTATTAGACCTTATGTTGTGTTTTAATCTTTCTAATTTCTTTTAATTTTTAATATCTATGTATTTATCTGTTCTTTCAAATTATCTGAAATTTTTTTAATGTGAATGCTGTTACTGATCACGCTTGTTAAAAAAAAGATCATTAAATTTATCACATAAAAAAAGCTGTCATTTTTCAAAAGGCGTCATTATCAATGTTCAATCATATTCATATATTATTTAGAACATATTATTTTATTTGGGTTTCTGGTTGTACATATAAAACTCATCATGTTTCGAATGTATGATCATAAAAAACTGAGATGCAGTAAGAGACAGAAAAATTTATGTCCCTATTGAATTGTGTTTTTTGTGGAACGCTGTTCCGAAAGTGGAAAAGCGAAAAAGAATATATTAGATTCATCCTTTTGTTTTTTAGTAATAGAAATACATCATATAGTCGTTATAAACACATTTCTATTATATAATCTTCAAACATTTTTCCTGGCTAATTCACATGATCAGCTGAATGTGTGTTGGAGACTTGTTACTTTCAAATTATTAGACAGTATTGCCCAATAATTCTGCTCTGTGTTGCACCTTAGAAAATTATAAATTTTCAGTAATATAACGATCCAAATATTTAAGAAATAATACTTTCCATATTCCCTTAAACTGTGAGTTATATGTGTACTTTGTGCTATTTATTAATGCTTAATCTCCTATTTGCAAATTAATTAAAGACATTGATTAAATCTGTCTCCTGCTTCAAGTTTATATCTCATAAATTTTAGCTGGAATAACTCAAATTCTTCTATCAGGGTCTGATGTTTGGCTATGCGACAGATGAAACCGACGAATGTATGCCATTGACTGTTGTTTTGGCACATAAGTTAAATCAAAAGATCGCAGAACTAAGACGAAGCGGTGAATTATGGTGGGCAAGACCAGACTCAAAAACGCAGGTTCGTTTATTCTCTATATCTAATAACAATATACATATATCTAATTTAACATATAATTTAATCAATGATGTTATGTTGTATTTGCTACTCTTGATAGCCATGATGTAAACAAATTTGCTGAGAATATATTCTAATAATAATAATAACTTTTTAATGTTATAAGAAAGAAATAATAATATAAATTGCATTTTTTAAATAGGTTACCTGCGAATATGTCATGGATCATGGTGCTTGTGTTCCCATAAGAGTTCACACAGTGGTTGTATCATTGCAACACAGTGAAAAAATTGGTTTGGAGGAACTACGTAAAGCAATTATGGAGAAAGTTATTAAAGAAGTAATCCCAGCTAGGTACCTGGATGAAAGAACAGTCTTCCACGTTAATCCTTGTGGATTGTTCATCATTGGTGGACCACAGGTGAAATATGAATTATTCATATTCAATTTTGGAAGTAAACAACGCCATGAATTATTGACATCTATGAGTCAAGCATTAGTTATATAGCTTTTGTGGTTAAATTAAATAAATTCTTAGAGTTAAAAATTTAATGGCTTTTTCAAATTCAATTTCTTAAAAACTGAGAGTAATTGAGAAAAAATAACCTTTAGAGATTCGCGTGTTACAAATTGTGTATACAAATTTATAAAAATAGTGTATTAGTAATCAGAACTCAAAACAAAACGTAGTTAAAATTGATTGGATAGTGTTAGTAAAGAAATTATAATATTAACAAGAATGTAATTAAATTTCACAACTTCCCATTCAATAAGTTGGTAAAGTGAGAATCCCGCGCAAATACCAATTTGATTATACACAAAGACTAAAATCGATTCACATGCGTAGAATAGAAATCCGTTTATTTGCATTCCATTTATCTAAACAAGATCATACTAGGTTCCAGACATATACATACACTCTACGAAACCGACGGATATAGTATCGATAGAGAGGAAGATTAGTGAGCTCTTATTATATGAACTACCCGATTGTTGAAACTATTTCAATTCTATACATTTAAAAGACTTTTAGTGTAGAAATGAAAAAAATTGTTTTATGTTTGATAATACCTACTACGTTTTTATTTTGTCGGAGTTATATAAATAGATATAATAAATTCACGTCTACAACTAAAACTTCATGAAATGAAACTGTATTTGGATATAGTATTATATAGTATTTGCCACTCTTGAATGCCATGATGTAATTGAAAATTACTGAGAATAATCTCGTATCAGTATCAAATACAGTGATGATTCGATAAATTTTATACGTTTTATTATAATTGTAATAAGAATATTTAACATTGTTTCTACATGTCATATTCTAATATGATTATAAATCGAAATAGTATATATGTTGTTTCACTTGCAGAGTGATGCTGGTCTTACTGGTCGTAAAATTATAGTAGACACTTACGGTGGCTGGGGAGCACATGGAGGTGGTGCATTTTCTGGTAAAGACTTCACAAAGGTCGATAGATCTGCTGCTTATGCAGCAAGATGGGTGGCAAAGTCTTTGGTCAAAGCAGGTTTATGCAGACGTTGTCTTGTACAGGTATTAATCATTAACATCTTAAAAATTATTAACAAATAACTAAGCTACATAATTAAAATTCAAGTAAATTTCTTAATATTTTCTTATATCCATATTTAGGTTTCATATGCCATTGGAGTGGCAGAACCACTTTCAATTACAGTCTTCGACTATGGCACATCCAAACTATCTCAAAATGAACTTCTAGATATAGTTAATAAGAACTTCGATTTACGACCTGGAAAAATTGTTAAGTAAGTACATTATTTATGAATATTACAAAATTCAAATTATTATAGCATCTGATTTTAAAGTTACAATCATTTTAAATTAGTAACATTTTACTTGAATTAATGTCTCGTACGATTATAATCATTGTTTCAAGAAATTCACGTCTACAACTAAAACTTCATAGAATGAAACTGTATTTGGATACTATAAAGTTATTCAATGATGTTATATAGTATTTGCTACTCTTGAATGCCATGATGTAACTGAAAATTACTGAAAATAATCGTATCAGTATCAAATACAGTGATGATTCGATAAATTTTATACGTTTTATTATAACTGTAATAAGAATGTTTAACATTGTTTTTATATGTCATATTCTAAAATTGTTTGTATGTAAGAAATAATTCTCAAATATTGCATTTTACTATTTTTATAGAGAATTAAATCTTCGTAACCCAATTTATCAACAAACTAGCACCTATGGGCATTTTGGACGAGAAGGCTTCACCTGGGAGCAGCCAAAGACATTAATTTTCGATTGATGATCAGAACAGAAAATCGCTAATCTTCATGTACAATTTTAAAATTTGATATTCACGGATTTTTCACACTACACTTTGAAAAAGTCGTATTCCAGTTTTCGAGTTCCGTCACACAATTTTTCTTAAACCTCTTATAAACAAAGGTCTTGTAGCTTCGATGTTGCATTAATTATTATACATTGCAAGATCGACAATGTCTATTACAATTATCCATTCAAAAAAGAGCAAAGAGGGAAATTCGTGTTTGTACGACAACTCTTAACAATTCATATTGTCACTAGAGTTATCATCCTGCGAACTGTTCTTAGGAATATAACCCTATCGACAAGATAAGACGTTTAGAATCAGTGTATATATTCATATATAAATATATAAGAGTTAGTAATATCGCGATCCCTTAAATTCAAACATAACCAATTTACTCAACAGTTTCAGGAAATGCGATATTATTAACACCTGGTTGATACAATATTGCTTTCTGTCATAAAGGATTCTCATACGATATGAAAATTACGCCTATTCGAAATTGGTCAATCTTTTTCCCACTTTGCTAAAATGAATGTATATTATCAGTTTATGTTTGCACTCAAACGATTAATAATTCTAGTGAAAGAGAAACGTACATGAAAGCCCAAAGTTACACAATTAAATTTCTGGTAAACATAAACATTACACAGCTAAAAACAGATTTGGACTTTCACGTACGTTCGCAAAGTACTAATACCGCTAAAAATCTGAGAGAACATTTTCATCTCAAGATAGTACCAATTTATACACTTGTCAAATGCGTCAACGTCTTTTGTTCTTATTGTTCTTGTTGTAGATTGACTTTTAACACACACACACCACTTGCAGCCTATAATGACTCAGGCATTAGTTCACCTTTCCCTTTGTCGATAGTTGTAATACCTTAAGGGTTGGTAATTCTTTACTTAATTTTTTGTTGGTGAAGTGAAGGAAAAGTAACTGTTCTCGGCTGACATGCTGGGTCAACGAAATTTGTACTATACCACATAATACAAAGTACCTCGTGGTGCAGATAAACTAGTATGTCATTTTTCCTGCTAGTTTGCTAGGTTGTCAAAAGGAATTGATGGACTTTGCGAATGTAGCGTGGAGGTCAAAAAATCTCGGAGAACGATATACAAGATATACACGATTAATTGAGAGCAAATTATACGTTCCTCAAAGAACGTCAGACTGATTAAAATCTATGCTCTCATCAATCGAAAATTAATAAAAGTGTTGATTATCTATACAAAAAAGGAATTTCAAGAATTGACAAAACTGTGGAACAAAATTAAATAAAATGAAGGATATTTCATCATTTTATTAAAAAATTCTTTTTATTATGACGCATACGATGATCTTGTGCATTTTTACATTGCCAATACCATTGCACGATAGATTGTTACATTAATCTAATGAACAGAAAATCGCTAATCTTCATGTACAATTTTAAAATTTGATATTCACGGATTTTTCACACTACACTTAGAAAAAGTCGTATTCTAGTTTTCGAGTTCCGTCACACAATTTTTCTTAAACCTCTTTTAAACAAAGGTCTTGTAGCTTCGATGTTGCATTAATTACTATACATTGCAAGATCGACAGTGTCTATTACAATTATCCATTCAAAAAAGAGCAAAGAGGGAAATTCGTGTTTGTACGATAACTCTTAACAATTCATATTGTCACTAGAGTTATCATCCTGCGAACTGTCCCTAGGGTTATAACCCTATCGACAAGATAAGATGTTTAGAATCAGTGTATATATTCATATATAAATATATAAGAGTTAGTAATATCGCGATCCCTTAAATTCAAACATAACCAGTTTACACAACAGTTTCAGGAAATGCGATATTATTAATACCTGGTTGATATATATTGCTTTGTGTCATAAAGGATTCTCAAACGATATGAAAATTACGCCTATTCGAAATTGGTCAATCTTTTTTCCACTTTGCTAAAATTAATGTATATTATCAGTTTATGTTTGCACTCAAACGATTAATAATTCTAGTGAAAGAGAAACGTACATGAAAACCCAAAGTTACTCAATTAAATTTCTGGTAAAGATAAACGTAACACAGCTGAAAACAGGTTTGGACTTTCACATACGTTCGCAAAGTACTAATACCGCTAAAAATCTGAGAGAACATTTTCATCTCAAGATGGTACCAATTTATACATTTGTCAAATGCGTCAACGTCTTTCGTTCTTCTTATTGTTCTTGTTGTAGATTGACTTTTAACACACACACCACTTGCAGCCTATAATGACTTAGGCATTAGTTCACCTTTCCCTTTGTCGATAGTTGTAATACCTTAAGGGTTGGTAATTCTTTACTTTATTTTTTGTTGGTGAAGTAAAGGAAAAATGACTGTCCTCGGCTGGCATGCTGGGTCAACGAAATTTGTACTATACCACATAATACAAAGTACCTCGTGGTGCAAATAAACTAATATGTCATTTTTCCTGCTAGTTTGCTTGGTTGTCAAAAGGAATTGGTGGACTTTGCGAATGTAGCGTGGAGGTCAGAAAATCTCGGAGAACGATTTACGAGATATACACGATTAATTGAGAGCAAATTATACGTTCCTCACAGAACGCCAGACTGATTTAAATCTATGCTCTCATCAATCGCGAAAATTAATAAAAGTGTTGATTACCTATACAAAAAAGGAATTTCAAGAATTGACAAAACTGTGGAACAAAATTAAATAAAATGAAGGATATTTCATCATTTTATTAAAAAATTCTTTTTATTATGACTTGCATACGATTATCTTGTGCATCTTTACATTGCCAATACCATTGCACGATAGATTGTTACATTAATCTAATGAACAGAAAATCGCTAATCTTCATGTACAATTTTAAAATTTGATATTCACGGATTTTTCACACTACACTTAGAAAAAGTAGTATTCTAGTTTTCGTGTTCCGTCACACAATTTTTCTTAAACCTCTTATAAACAAAGGTCTTGTAGCTTCGATGTTGCATTAATTACTATACATTGCAAGATCGACAGTGTCTATTACAATTATCTATTCAAAAAAGAGCAAAGAGGGAAATTCGTGTTTGTACGATAACTCTTAACAATTCATATTGTCACTAGAGTTATCATCCTGCAAACTGTTCCTAGGGATATAACACTATCGACAAGATAAAGACGTTTAGAATCAGTGTATATATTCATATATAAATATATAAGAGTTAGTAATATCGCGATCCCTTAAATTCAAACATAACCAGTTTACACAACAGTTTCAGGAAATGCGATATTATTAATACCTGGTTGATATATATTGCTTTGTGTCATAAAGGATTCTCAAACGATATGAAAATTACGCCTATTCGAAATTGGTAAATCTTTTTCCCACTTTGCTAAAATGAATGTATATTATCAGTTTAAAATTCAAAAATATATGAATTCTGTTGTAAATAAAATAGTTTTAATATGATTGTGCCACTTAAACTAGTAACATATATTAATAAAATAATTATACTATAATTAACCTTTAAAACCAAATTATTTAGTGATTG